GTCATGTATCTAGTAGGCAAGCCAAAGCCACAAGTCCAAAACCCCACAGGTCCTCCTGGGGAAGCCTGCCTCCCTTTGGAGCCCAGGGACTGCAGTTAGCAATGTCTTCATGCTTGGTCCGTCCCCTACAGCTAAAGGCATTCCTGCAAGATGCCGATCCATCGATGGCAGCGAACGGCAGGGGCTTAACGCACTTCGGTTCTGCACATACAGCTTTCCCACATTTGGAGGGCGGCCCGCCTACTCAGCGTTCACCACTTTCAATGTGAATCTCATCTAAAACCAGCCTCCTAGGTGACGCATGAAATAAACCGTCACAGTACCTTCTCTCCCCCACCACGCCCGGTGCCCCTTCCCCCGCAGGACCAGGTATGGCGGTGACCCAGGTACCCATGGCCAACAGAGAAAGAGAAGTTGAGATGCTCTCCTCACAGAATGTCCAGGCTTCCAGTCCTCCTTTGGCACGAGGAGACCTCGGCCCCACCCTGAACCCCGAAAGCCACCGAGGGACAGAGGGCGACACGGAGAACGAGTCTCTGGCATTCAGGCTTCAACAGCACGACCACCGCTTGCGGCTCAACCGACCGGTCTTCCAATGTCCACAATCCACCCAACGCCCTCTCCAGCCCTGGGACGCACAACCCTTTCCCTCTACCTGCAGGAGAGGGCAACACCCAAAACCCCATGTGGGCTACTTGCTTCCACCCCACGGCCACCTCCAAACCATCCTATCTGCGGGCAGTAAACCAGAGGACACCGTGTCACCCGCCTGACCATACAGGATGGTCACTGTGTCAAGTACCAGTTCTCCTGAACTTCCCTCAGGTCCCCCCAGTTGGTCTTCAGGGCCCTCATCTGCCTCGTCCAGAAGCCCAGTAGCCCAGCCTCATTGCCAAAAGTGTTAAGTCCGAATCTGGGAAGGGCCTGGGATTTTACCGAACTTGCGTCCCAAGTGCTTGGTTTGCCATAATTTTATATCCATATCCTAGCAGAAGGACACAAGACCCCTGGGTCAGAGACAGGGAGGGGTTACTACTCACAGCAAGAACGATAAACAGAGCAGCATCATGTGTGCCACCCTAATCCCCACAGGGCCAGGCACCGAGGGCCAGGTTATCCGTACGTGCAGTGGGGTGCAGGCGCCACAGGACCCTAAACTCGAAAGCCTCTGAACTTCCGTGAAGCTGCTGGCGTATCTGCTTGTCCTCCTCTCTGAAGAGAAACATTATTCGTTCCCCCGGAACGTAAGCAAATATTTCAAGAAGGGGAAGGAGATTTTATCTTTCCTATCCGGAGACATCACCAGGGAGGTATTTCTCTACGTTTCTCCGGTGGGAGCGTCTCTCGCCTCCAGCACAGGCCTTGCTATTCCAGCGTGTTCTTTGTGCAGGTGGCCTGGACCATGCAGGAATACAAGAAACCCATGAGGAGCTGTCTTCCAACAGTATCACCTTTTGTGAATTGTCTTTTCAAATATTTGGCAATTCATCTTCTTATCATCGAGCTGTAACAAGATCTGTATCACCAGAGCCCTTTGTAAAATCTACATATTACAAATGTGGCAAACAAATGAAAAACCCCTCCAGTGATCCCTGTTGTTTACTTAATGGTTTTGTAACAGGAAGTTTTAAATGTCTTCTAACGTCCATATCAATGTCTTTAAGTTTCATAATTTGCTTTTGTATCATTTTTGTGCCCTCTGCGCTGACAGCACAGTCTCTCTCTCCGCCCCTCCCCCACTCCTATTTTTTCCTTCTCTCTCTCTCAAAATAAATAAATAAACATTTTTTTCAAAGGCTAAAAAAAATCAGTCGTATGCATATGGATCGATTTCTGGGTTCTCTATTTCAGCCCTAATATAAATACAACGCAAGATGTCAACGTAAGCTACATATGTGATTTTACATTTTTCTAGTAGCCACATTTTCAAAAGTGGACCGCTATGGAACCACCATCTTAATCACCCACAGTTTAGTCCCATGAACATTTACCCACTGACGCTGTGTTTGTTTGTTTGTTTGTTTGTTTTTTAAGGAATGGGTCCCGGGCTGCCCAATACAGGGGGTGGTTCATCGTGAAATACGTTGTCAAGTAAAACCAAACTTGATACGGCGAGATTAAATTGCTCCGTAAGCTGGAGCCTCGGCTAAAAGCAGAGCCCACGCATTGTGACTTTCGGTGTGATGTCACATAATCAGTGCTGAACATTTCCTCCTACCCAGGCTGTGTGGAACAAAGAGCCAGAATCTAGATCCATAATCAATACCATGAGCAATAGGACGTTCATTTAACTCAAAGAGGCGAGAAATTACTAAAGGCTGAAATAAATCTTAAAGTTGAGTTACAAAGGCATACTATCCTATGCCTGGCTTCACGGGTTAAGTTTCTAGAAACAACTGAATGAGGCTTTATGGTTTAAAAGAAACAAAGATTTATGGGAGAAATGCCATTCGAAGAACACAGACTGCGATTAGTCTATGAAAAATAAACAATGGAGACATAACAAAATGACATACTGAAGTGTCACTGTCCTCTGATTCCAAATCCCATAAAATGGCAGAAAATATAGTTTAAAGAAAATAAACACATAATAGTACTACAGCAGAACTTTAGAAGGTTTTTCGAAGTATAGAAAGTTCACAGGATATGGGACGCCTGGGTGGCTCAGTTGGTTGAGCAACCGGCTGTTGATTTTGGCTCAGGTCATATTCCCGGAGTCGTGGGATCGAGCCTCAAGTTGGGCTCTGCACTGACCATGGAGCCTGTTTAAGAGTCTCTCTCTCTCTCTCTCTCTCTCTCTCTCTCTCTACCCCTCTCCCCTCGCACTCTCTCTCCCAAAAATAAAAAATATTAATAAATAATAAAATAAAATAAAAAATAAGAAGTACACAGGATATGACACACTATAGGGGAAAAGACAACAACAAATAGCCCAAAGACAACACAAAAGCTAAAGCCATTCAGGGACGCTCCAAGCCCAGAGCAGAACCCAGAATTCCCGGCTGTCCACTGACTTCTCTATCACATTCCGTACCTCTGGTAAATATTCTCCTAAATGATTTAATACTTTAAGCTCAGGTTACAAAACTTCAGCGTTAAAAAGCAAACAAGGGGCGCCTGGCTGGCTGTTGGAGGGGCACGTCACTCTTGATCTCAGGGTTGTGAGTTTGAGCCTCACATTGGATGTGGAGATTGCTTAAAAATAAAATCTTTCGGGGCGCCTGGGTGGCTCGGTTGGGCGTCCGGCTTCAGCTCAGGTCACGATCTCGCGGTCCGTGAGTTCGAGCCCCGCATCGGGCTCTGTGCTGATGACTCAGAGCCTGGAGCCTGCTTCCGATTCTGTGTCTCCCTCTCTCTCTGCCCCTCCCTCACTCATGCTGTTTCTCTCTCTCTCTCTCTCAAAAATAAACATTAAAATAAATAAAAAATAAAATGTTTTAAAATGAATAAAATAAAATAAAAATAAAAAGATTCCCTCTTAGGAAAGCATCCCAGTTCATTGCCTTTTCTTTTATATTTTATATTTCTTTTGTATTTCCCTACTTTCAAGTGTATTTTACATGCGCATAATGATACATTTTTATGTATAATTTGTAGACGTATATAATTTTATGTCCCGTTTTTCACTTAACCTTATATGAGTGTTTTTCATCTTGCCACTGACTCCTCATAGCTCTCATTTTTGATGTCTGCATAATATACTTTGATTGAATGTAGCATGATCTATTTTCTCCTTTCCTTCTTTTTGACCATTTGGGTTGTTTCCAATGTGTGCTATTATAAATAATGCCGTAATTAACATCTCTATTTCCTCAGCTAAATTTAAATCTGTTTTATGAATTAAAAGCAGCTGAACTGACTTGTGTGTCATTCCTTTTTGAACGAAAACAGAATGTCCTGGTTTTGTAACAAGGAACGCTTCTAAAATTAGGCTTACGGATAGGGCTGTGTGACAAGTCAGAATAGCAATGGCAGAGTTCCTGAATCTCTGTAGACAATGTCTGCTTAGCTTACTTGTCCCTCTTTGGGGAATAGAGTAAGTCCCGTGCTGCTTCAGCTTAAAATGAATCTCAAGATCGGTAACGTTAGCCTTGACAGGAGTAATTTTTTTTCAGACAGCAGCCCTTCTGGTTGCGTTGCTTCCTTCAGATCTTCCCGCACTTGACCAGGGTGAAGGTCAACTGCGGATGCATAATTTTCAAGCTATTTGAAATACTTGGTAACACTGAAAAGGTTTCTGTTTTCTCATAAAGTTTTTTGTTGCCCCAGATACAGAACACCTGGTGAGAGTAAAGCAGAAATGTGCATAGAAGTGGAGGTGGAAGGGGAATGAGTTTTACAAAAGGACCAATTACAAGTCGAAGAAACTTATTTTTTTTTCATGTTTATGTATTTTGAGAGAGAGAGAGAGAGTGCACGTAAGCAGGGGAGGGGCAGAGATAGAGGGAGACACAGAATCCGAAGCAGGCTCCAGGCTCTGAGCTGTCAGCACAGATCCCGACGTGGGGCTCAATCCCACGAATCAGGAGATGGTGACCTGAGCCGAAGCCAAGAATCAGACGCTTAACACAAGTCAAAGAAGTTTAAAATACGATATTAAAACCTCAAAACTCAACAGATCAGGTGACCAGTACACTGATACAGCTAAAAACGAATTCCTTCCTGGATAATCAAACCATTCCAAGAGCCACCTAATATGAATTTCATGTGCAGAGAATTGTGGGAATGAAGGGGAGAAAAAATTAATAATAAAATTATCCACAGTTAAATAAACACACGAGTATCGGGGTTGAGTGAGTTCACTGGAAGTTGATCAGAATGCATGAAACACATAAGCACCTACAGAGCACCGCTGGGAAATTTCAAAACGTCAAGGATAAAAGGGAAGTCCTAAAAAGCAGACAAAAATAAAAGGAAACAGATTGCCTACAATCTGTCCATTGCCTACAATCTTGTCAATTTGACAAAAGTCAAATTGGGTTCTATCTTCTCATTGGCAGCACTGGTGCTAGAAGACAACGGACCAACAACCCGGAAAGTACGAGTATACATTACGAAATGATTCCCACGACCAGGTTAGTTACCGTATCCATCACATCACATAATTACGATGGTGTTTGGCGGGGACGGTGAGAACATTCAAGATCTACTCTCGTAGCAACTTTCAAGTATATAATATGATGTTGTTAACTACAGTCACCATGTTCAACACAAGATCCCCAGAACGTAGCCATGCCATCATTGGAAGTTTGTGCCCTTTGACCAATGGGTCTGCCCATTTCCCCCACCCCCAGCCCTGACCACCACCATTCTACTCTCCGTTTCTATGAGTTTGACTCTTCTTTCTTATTCCACATGTGAGTGAGATCGTATCATATTTGTCTTTCTCTGTCTGACTTATTTCACTTAGCACAATGCCCTCAAAGTGTTCATCCGTGTTGTCACAAATGGCATCGTGCCTTATCATTTTAAGGTTGAATGATATTCCATTTTATATATATATATAAACCACACATATCTCACACACACACACACACACACACACCACATTTTCTTTGTCTATTTATCCATTGATGGACACTTACGTTGTTTCTGTGTCTTGGCTATTGTGAATAATGCTAAAACAAGCATGGAGGTGCAGACACATCTTGGGGATAGTGCTTTCCTTTCCTTCGGATATATACCCAGAGGTGGGATTGATGGATCATGTGGTAGTTCTGTTGTTAATTTTTGGAGGAACCACCATACCGCCTCTGTAGTGGCTACACCAATTCACATTCCCACCAGCAGTACACAAGGGCTCCCTGTTCCCCACATCCCCATGGACACCCATTGGAACAGGTGTGAGGTGACCTCACTGTGGTTTTGACTTGCATTCCCCTGATGGTGGGTGATGTTGAGCACCTTTTTATGTACATCTTGGTCATTTGTACGCCTTCTTTGGGAAAAATGTCTGTTCATGTCCTCTGTCCACATTTTATTTAATCAGATTATTCTCGATTATTGTTATTAACTTGCTGCTGAGTTGTGTGAGTTCTTTATGTATTTTGGACATTCACCCTTTATCAGATAAATGATTTGCAAGTATTTTCTCCCATTCTGTAGGTTGCCTCTTCTCTTTGTTGATCGTTTCTTTTGCTGTGCAGAAGCTTATTTTATTTTACTTTATTGTAATTTTATTTTAGAGACAGAGAGAAAGAGCACGCACAAGTTGGGGAGGGGCAGAAGGAGAGAGAGAGAGAGAGAGAGAGAGAGAGAGAGAGAATTTCAAGCAGGCCTCCCCCCCCTCAGCACAGAGCCTGATGTGGGGCTGAATCTCACGACCCTGGGGTCATGACCTGAGCCAAAATCAAGTCAGATGCTTAACCAACTGAGCTACCCAGGTGCCCCTGTGCAGAAGCTTTTTAGTTTTATGGAAGCCCGTGTGTTTATTTTCCTTTTTTTATTTTTTGCTTATGCTTTTGGTGTCATATCCAAAACATCATCACATTATTGCCAAGTCCAATATCAAGGGGATTTTTTTTCCCCCTTTTCTTCTTCTAGACCAGTTCCAGGTCTTACATCCAAATCTCCAACCCATTTTGAGTTCATTCTCGGGAGTGGTGTGAGATGGGGTCCAGTTTCAGTCTTTTACAGGTGAACACCCAGTTCTCCCAACGCTCCTGAAAATACTGTCTTTTCCTCACTGAGTATTCTTGGCTTCCCTGTCAAATATTAGCTGACCATATGTGCATGGGTTTGTTTCTGGGTTCTCGACTCTGTTCCATCAGTCTACGTGTCTGTTTTTACCAGTGCCGCGCCCTCGGTGCCGATGACAGGGCCAAGCCCAGTGGGGCGTGGCCGAGTTCTTGGGGGCACAGAGCTCTTTCTGGGGCTGTGGCAAGGACTGCATTTGGCAAACCAGCTGCCTGGGTTCAGACCCCTCCTTCCCAAAATCCTCACCTTGGTCTCGGGCTGTGCCGAGGCTCCAGTCTCCGACGTGGATTCCAGGGCTCCCACAAAGACGTGTTTGTCCATGAATGTTGGGGGCGGGGAGTACATGTGAGGAACGTCGTATTCGACCACCTTGCTGGCATCACCCCAGGACTTTTTATTTCACACATTGGTTTCTGGACGCCTTCATCATCCCGGAGCCCCTTATCCGATTACACTCCAAGTTTGTCTGGGATGTGTTTCCTCTTAAAACCGAACCGTCATGTAGGATTATCCTGAAAGTGAGTTTTTGAAAATCACTCTGAGACTTGACACTGCTTCCCAGCATTTCGGAGGGACTTAAGTCACCAGGAGACGGGGACGAGGACCACATCCAGGCCCCAGGAAGGACACACACACCACGACACATCAAAATCAGACATTCGCCAAACCCATTCAGTGCTGTTCACAACTTCCCCAAGGAGATTGCCGGTCGGTTTCAAGCTTGCCATCCTCACGAAGGTCCTTGGCTCACCTCAGACTTGCCGTTCAATCCCCCAGAGCAAGCCAGGCAGGAGAGGAAAGGACCCTTGTTAGCAGGTAGAAATGCGGTCCTGACGTGGCCCTGTCTTCTCATTTTTCCCAACATGTCGGAAACCCAGATTTTTGCTTTTTGGCCGGGGACTCTCCTGACTTCTGTAATTTGCCAACAAAACAAAAAGATTCTTAAACATTCTACGAGCCAGCCAAAACAAATACATGCGCCCGATTCAGAACAGACTCGAAACCTCCGATTTCAGTGAAGTCTAATGGGTAATAATGCACAAAGGCGATTAAATTTCCAGGGCCGGAACTTTGGATCCAGCAGACAAAGGGAGGCGGGGCCGGGGCGAGGAGAGTCACAGCCATCTCTTTGCCATGGAAACCCCAAGGGATGAGACTTATATTTTTTTCTGTATTAAGAGATCAATGGGAGATTAATAATAATCCCGTACATTGATGTAGCACTTCAAACCTGAGTGCTTGCTCATCTACAATCTCATTTGATCCTTATAACAGCCCCGTGAGCTTGTCAAGAACATCCAACACTCTCTCATCCGATTAAAGGGAGCCAAGGACTCACACAATTTCACTTAGAGAAAAAAAAAGAGGAGAGACCAAAAGGTAACCTTTTCCAGCTTTCAGTGGCAATGCTCAGAAATAAGTCCTTGTTTCCCTGACTTTCACCTGCTCTCTCTCCTCCCTGTGTTCGGTACGCTGCCCTGTTCCCTTGTTCCAGAAGGAGCAGCTCATGCTCACAGAGCGCAGGGCTCGGCAGCAGCAGGGGTCAGTCAGAGCTCCGGCCGGTGAACTAGAACCTGTCTGGCAAGGTTTGCAATGAAAATACCACCTGGTGGTTGACGGTCCAGAAATGACCCTCACTGACTTGTTGATATGCAAAGAACCAAGCTTTGACTGACCTCACTCAAGTCCTTGGTCATAAAATTTTTTTTTTCAATTCATTAACTGTAGCTAATCTTTACAATCCAGTGGCTCAGAGATAAATGAGTCTCTTGTCAAAAGTGGGGTGAACATACCTGTTACGATGGCTTCCACCCAAAGAAAAATAAACACAGAAAACCATAAGTGTTGGCCAGGATGTGAAGAAATTGGAACCCTCGCTCCAGCCGGGCATGTGAAATTGGTACTGTGGTTGTGGGAAAAGTATGATGGTTCTGCAAAATATTAAAAAGAGAATGACCATACGGTCCTGCAGTTCTCCTTCTGGGTATTCACCCTAAAGAGTAGAAACGACAGCCTCGAAGGGGTATTTTCACACCCATGTTCATGGCAGCGTTACTTGGTGACGCTGTTACAGGAGAAAGCCACCCAGTACCTGTGGACGGATGAACAGATAAGCAAAATATGGCCTATACATACGTGCAAGAGAATAGTACTCAGCCCTAAAAAGGAAGGAAATTCTGACACCCGCTCCAATGCGGATAAACCTTAAGCACATTGTGCTGAGTGAAACGTTTGTCCCGAAAAGACAAATACTGTGTGATTCTATCATGGAGTGCCCCTCGATTCAGAGTAGTCAAGTTCAGGGAAACAGAAGATGAAAGGGTGGGTCCTCAGGGCTGGGGAGGCGGGTGGGGAGTCCATATTTAATGGGGGCACAGTTCCAGGATTGCAAGATGAAGAGTTCTGGTGATGGATGGTGTGATGGCCACACGACAGTGCGAATGCTCTCAGCACCACGGAGTCTTCCTCATAAGAACGGCTAAGCTGCTATATGTATTTTATCACAGTCTATAACATCTTTTTAAGTGGGGTGAAGTCACACAACTACCGCAATCCCTCAGCCGAACCTGGGGCTTCACGATCCCACCGATTCCTGACTCCCTGGTGACACTCTGCTGGTGTACGCCAGAGTAGGGTAGACCATTCTCTTTCCTGTCCCCGGGGGTTATCTTCCTTTCCTTATCGTAGTTATTAACCAAACCCAGTTCGCACGTCAACTTTCCAAAGGCTCTCCCATCTGACCACCTACAGCGTGCTGGGAGAGTTTACCAGTCTCTCTGGGAGCCACCCCTTTGCCCTGTCTGTATTTCTGTGGTTGTCCTTTCATATCTTGAGAGAGAGGGCGGCAGAGAGAGAGAGAGAGAGAGAATCCCAAGCAGCCCCCCCCCCACGCTGTCAGTGCAGAGCTGGATGGGGGCTCGAACTCATGAGCTCATGAGATCATGACCTGAGCCAAAACCAAGAGCTGGACACTCAACTAACTGAGCCAGTCAGATGCCCCATCCTTTCAAGTACTATTATGGCAACTTGTTTGCTGGTCCACACGTGTCTCCCCGGTAGGCCAGGGCTGTGGTGGGGAGGGTGCATGAAGGAATGATGGTAATCGGGCAGTTTCTCAGCCATCCAAGGCAGAGAGCAAAGACCCAAATATTTGGAGATGGAATGTAATTCCAGTGGGCATATAATGACCATAAACATGCACGCTTCATGACTTTGTGGTGTGTATAGCAGAGGGTCCTAGGCTTTAGGCATCTCTAGGGTCTTAGGAAGACTCCAAGGAAAGGCAAACCGGAGGAGATGGGTGGTTCCTGGCCCAGCTGAGTACTGTGTCCCATGGGGCAGGGGCCCACCAGGAGTGGGAATGGTGGGCTGAGTAATGAAAATGCTTTCAAAAGACAGCCTTAGACACCTGTGAACACCTCGTCAGACCCAAACCTTAAGGGTACCCAGGCCAGATTCCCAAGAAGAAGAGGCCCTACAGTGAACAGTAAAAAAAGACCAATTCAAAGAAAAAGAAAGTGATCCCGTCCAAAGAATATTTAAAAGCCTATTGAAAGGAGAGAGATATACAGAAGCAAGAAATGAATTCAGACACAGACCC